TCCAACCAACAGTGGGACCAAGAAAACTGTGGAATTGAAATTTATTTATGACTTTAATAAGTTCAATGAACAAAAAAGCAGCAAATGTGGAGTGTACACTGTACACAGACCTTTTTCACTAAATAACTTGATTTTTAAACTACTGGTAAAACTATTGGCTTTACAACAACATTAAATACACATAAGATTGTCTAAAGTTCGTCCTTAAACATATTTTGAAATGTCTTGAATCTTTTTGAGACCCGCTGTATCCCTCCTGTATCACAGATTCCAGTAGTAAATTATGGAAGGTTTAGGTTCTGATGTATTTGCATGCTGTGAGATGGTATATATCCTCCAAGGTGTCCAAAAAAAGAAGCTTGCAAATATTTTTGAGATTTTTAGGACGAAATGCCGCAAATTTTATGCTAATTTTTCTAATCATGCATAATTAAATAAAAATACATTTTTTGGTACTTTTGTTTTGTACACCCTGTATATATGATGTATGGGGTAGAGTGGGTGTGTCGGGTGTATGAAATCGTATTTTTATTCCCAATATCGTGTTAGGTAATGTTCATGAAATTTAAATTCAAGCATGGAATTTGTTTAATAAAATAATAAGGATGAAATTTTGGAAATTATTTGTATAAATAATGAATGCGTCCTTGGATCACATAGTGAAAAAATCGACGACTTTTTAAAAAGTAAATAAATATTTAGAAATAATAGATAATTTATGATTAATATTTTAATCAATAATGAGTAAACAGCTTGAAATAAAAGTCAGTAAAAACTTTATAAAAAAATAAAGCGATAAATACTAAGCCACAAATATAAAAAATGGACTAAGAAAAAATAGAAAAAAATAGAAACTTTTGAATAAAAGTAAATGAAATGTTACATTACATTGGAGTATTTAAAATCATATTATGTCATATCATATAAAGTGTATATATATGAAGTGCAGGGAGTAAGAAATAGAAGGGAGATACAACTGACGCGGTTCGCCCTACCATATGATTATACATGCTTTGCAGACGGTACTCCATTTGTATAAGAAATATTCAGAATAGGTTATTGTATACGCGGTAATTTTACATCAGACTAATACTTCATATACAAATGGAGTACTCGTCTGCAAAGCATGTATAATCATATGGTAGGGCGAACCGCGTCAGTTATACCTCCCTTCTATTCCTTACTCCCTGATGTAGTGTAATACTCGTCTTCATACTCCACAGGATGAGAAACTATGAGTCCTATAATTTATTCATGTTGTATTTGTTTAGGTCCACTATGAGAACCCTGGACTACACTCTAATATAGCAGACAACTCAGGACTTGAGATACATCTTACACCCCATCTCCGTACCCAGGACTCATCAATGATAACCATAGGACATGATGTATCCACCCTCCATCTAGTCCCGCCCAACCAACCGTCCTTTACAACGGTCGCACACTGCCCAGCCCAGTGTACCTCCGCCCTACCGGAGAATGGTATCCGTGTTTTTGCTGGATTACCTCACACCCATCTCCTGGGGATTAAGGTCAAGCTCCGCCATATCAGGAACGGGGCGGAGCTTCCAATCCCGTTCCAGGATAATTATTATGATTTCAATTATCAAACGATGCGGCGGATAGAGTTTAACCTGCTACCCGGAGATCATCTTATTACAGAGTGTGTTTATGATTCCCGAGGTCGGGATGGATACACTAGAGGAGGAATGAGAGCAGATGATGAAATGTGTATGATGTTCTTACACTACTATCCTGCTGTTAACATTGCACAGTGTGTCAGCAAGCTGCCGTTGAAAAACCTGCTGCTCGCTATGGGGGTTAGTCTATGGCCGGTCACGCCGGATACCCGACATCTTGGCCTACGGATCCGCAGTCCAGACCGGTATCAGAACCTGACCCTGTCCGACTATATGTCAGCTGTTCTGCCAGGAGATCTGGACGCTGCTAAACGACTACAGGAGGCGAACCTGCATCATTCTCAAGTAGCAGAGTGCTTCGACTTCGGCAAGAGAAATGTTATTGCGGTAAGTTCTTATAAATAAAAAAGATAGATTACTAGAAAATTCCAATTTCTTTATAAACAGCATTTTCACCAGCGTACTTAATACAATTTAACTAGTTGATTTGCTATCTATGTATAAGGTTTGAATTAGGGCCTTGTTGCATTCTTTAAAGGCAAGTGCCTCCAAACAATGGGTAGGTAATTTGAAGGATAGCTAGCTAGATGATAGATGAGTAGATAGAAGGATAGATAATAGATAGATATATGCATAGACGGTAATATGAAAAATGTAAATAGATATATATAGCAGGACAGATAAAATATAGATGAAAGATGGCTTTACATATATTTAGATATAAGAAAGATAAATAAAAAGAGATGTTATTGATAGACAGATAGATAAAAGAATAATATAGGGATAAAAGATGGCATGATGGCTTGAACAGATAGATAAAAGGACAGATGATAGATAGATAAATGATGGCTAGAAAGATGAAAAATAAATAAAAGGATAGAATGTATAGATGGATAAGAAATGGTTAGAGAGATAGATGATAGATTTATAAGAGATGGCCAGTTAGATAGATATAAGGATAGAAGGATAGATAGACAGATAGATAGATAGATTGATGGCTAGATATAGGTCCATATTGGTAGGACAATGGCTGGTTTATGTAGGAGGAATAATCAGAGATATACGACAAATCTTGTGTCTGTACAAATAGGCTAAAGTATAAGTACATTCGTCACCAAAAAACAGTGGAATGATTGTTGTCATGACTCTTTCTTTTTATAAAAAATGTCGCAAAGGATTTTGTAATTTTGAAATTGTTTAACTGATTTTTCTAATTTCTATATCTTTGCAACCTGATGACGTAAGCCTTTGATATTGCAAACCTATGTTAATTTAAAGATTGAAAATTCTAAGGTCTACGACATTTGAGAAATGAATTTGAAAATCCGAGTTTGTGGTAAAGCATCTGAATTCCAATTAAAATAAAGACCAAAGACGACACTTTTCCCACTGTTTTCTGAGTACCAATGTAAAATCGTAAAAGTTAAGTTAATGTATAAAATATAAGAATAGTTTAACAAAACGAGAATTTTTAGATAAGTTTTGTAGAAAAACCTGTAGGATTTGATTATCTCTTGTTAAACTACAAAGATATATACTTCTAGATCTATCTGAAGAATCAGATTATCTCTTGTTATACTACCAGATATATACTCCTAGATCTATCTGAAGAATCAGATTATCTCTTGTTATACTACCAGATATATACTCCTAGATCTATCTGAAGAATCAGTTTATCTCTTGTTATTATACCAGATATATACTCCTAAATCTATCTGTAGAATCAGATTATCTCTTGTTATACTACCAGATATATACTTCTAGATCTATCTGTAGAATCAGATTATCTCTTGGTATAATACCAATTATATACTCCTAGATATATCTGAAGAATCAGATTATCTCTTGTTATACTACTGGTTATATACTCCTAGAGCTATATGTAGAATCAGATTATCTCTTGTTATACTACCAGATATATACTCCTAGAGCTATCTGTAGAATCAGATTATCTCTTAATATTTTACCAGGTATATACTCCTAGATCTATTTGTAGAATCAGATTATCTCTTGGTATACCACAGTTATATACTCCCGATCCCATGGAGCTATCTGTGGAATCTGCCCCAATCAGTCATATAGAACAGATCTTATTCAATTCAAAACCCAAGAGTTAGTTTAATACAATCTTACAAGCGAGTAGAGCGGGGGGGGGCGAGGTACCATAACACATACCCTTACAATATGCCTTGATTTTCCCACGCAACTGCCTTATTACAACTATGCCTTGGGATCTCAAGCCAAACATGGGAATTATAATTTTCTCCGCGGCATTTTCTTCCGGGATTTTTACTTCTTCCGGAATTTGAGCTTTTATCCGGATTTTTAACGTTATTAGGATCCACAGCTTATGATATTTATTAATTCATTGAGTTGATTTTTACTTAATTTACTCTTTGTGCAACGTACTAAAAGATCAAATCTTTTTTTGATAAGACAAAGGCCTTAAATAGAAAATGCTAATTTGATGTTGCATTATGCATATGCATAGAGCAAATGAAATAGAGTATGTGAATATAGAACAAATGACCTTGTGTATATAAAAATATTGTTTGGCTTAAACATTTTTTTGTCGAGTTTTATAAAATCTATGTTCAATAAATTTTCATTCATCAACAAAGAAAATTCAAAAATTCAAAATCAATTTTTAATAACTTGAAATAGTAGATCTGTCAGATTTGGGAACTAAAAATAGTTATTCAAAGTTAAGTTTGAATAACGGAATTTAATATTCAAAATATCGGTTCCCCGGCCCCCCTGAGGCGCTGATTTGAAGAAGGCAATATGCTCCAAAGCGTAACATCTGTTTGGCCGGAATTAGGCCTAAATTTGCCTGGGAATATTATAAACTGTGAAAACTGTTCCCGATCAAGTATAATTGTTGCAGCTAAACAATCGGAAAATAGAAATATTTCACGTTAATTTTACAATTAGAGAAACCATCTGCTACACGGTGGACTAAGCCAGTGGGGTCGGTCTAATAGACCTAGGATTAGGCCGGGTACTGTAAAAAGTCTGAACGCGCCATGGGAGTTGTCATAGTTAGCCCTCTCTCACGGGACTATGCCAAGAAAATTTACCCCTGTCGTATGTTAGACTGGTTAGGGCGACGTACTGCATTACCATAGGATCGGGTCAGTAAACGCTGTTATCTGGGAGGCCGGTACAAACTGGGCAGGTCCTGTTCGAATTCAAATTTACTACGGGGATAGAGTGGCTAGACCCTGTATGATTATAGATAGATAGATTTTTATCATTATAGTAAATAATTTTATATAGATATATTTTTTAAATCAACACTTTAATGACTGAATTTGCCAAACCCGGATGTTACTGTATGACATAATTTTTAAATCATACAATTGGAGG